TGTATTTTTGTCTTAATCTCATTCTCTCTGTTTTTCTCTTTCTGCCTCTGTGTTTCTGCATCTCTGTTGTTCTGTCTTTCTGTCTCTGTTACGCTCCATCTTTATCTCTCTCTCTCTCTCTCTCTCTCTACATATATATATATATATATATACATATGTACATATGTGTGTGTGTCTGTATGTCTCTCTCTCTGTATTTTTGTCTTTATCTTGTACTCTCTGTATTTTTCTCTTTCTGCCTCTGTTTCTATCTCACTGTCTCTACTTCTCCCTTGTTCTCTCTTTCTCTGTCTCTCTGTTACGCTCCATCTTTCTTTCTTTATCTCTCTCTGTGTTCTGCTCCATCTCTCTTTCTTTAGCTCTTTGTCTCTCTCTCTCTCTCTCTCTCTCTCTCTCTCGTCATCCTGACATGCTACAGCTGATGTAATGCAAAGGTCAAATTCTTGTCACAATCCCAGTGGCCTGTGAACAGTATGTCTGAGAGATTGGGGGTGGGGGGGGTCTAGAGAGAGAGACTAAGGCAAAGAAAGAAAGAAAGAAAGAAAGAAAGAAAGAACAAGAGAGAATGAGGAAGAAATAGAGAGGGAGAAAGAGACAAGCAGAACAAGACAGAAAAAACAGAGAGGAAGAGGAAAAAAAAGTGTGTGTGAGAGAGAGAGAGAGAGAGAGCGAAAGACAGAGAGAGAGAAAGAGAGAAAATGAGGGACAGAGTGAGAAAGATTTAAAAAAGAAAAGACAGAGAACAGAAGAATGAAAAAGAGAAGAGAAAATGAGAGTTTAAATGAGAAAGACAGAGGAAAAGGTAGAGAACAAGGGAGAGAGAGAGAATGAGAGACAGAGAAAGAGAGAGAAAGTGGGGAAGAAAGATAGACAGTGAGAGAGAAAGGACGAAAGAAAGAGAGATAGTGTGAAAGAGAGGCATTAAGGGAAACGAGAGAGAGACAGAAGGAACAAAAACGAGAAAGATAATGGGAGACTTAGAGAGTGAGAATGAGAGAGAAAAGAGAGAATGAAAAAGAGAAGAAAAGAAGAGACTGAATGAGAGAGATTGGGGGGGGGGCAATGAGAGAGAGAGAGACAGAAAGAGAGAGAGAGAGAGAGAGAGAGGCCTCTGTCAGCCGTATTGATATGCAGGCCACACCGCTGCGACGCTGGCTGGCTGAGATGAGGAAGCCGTGGCGTGCTGGTCTGGGATGAGATGTTTTAATGAGATTGTAGTGTGTTTAGTGGCGGCGGACAGCAGGCGTGCGGCGCTGCGCTGACTATCATCTCACCCTCGGCTTATTGCTTTATATGGTTTTATATTAGTTTATAGTGGTTTATATTGGTTTACATGCGCCTGGCAGCTCGCTAATGTCTTCACTGTTCACATGCAGTGCACCAGCACAGCAGGGCTGCTCTGGGGGCTGAAAACAAATCACCCTCATGATCGACAGAGACAAAACCCTCGTGGTAACAAACAGAGACAAAAGACAAAAGGAAAGAAAGGCAACATAAGTGGAACAGCCTTGTGAATATCTGACCCAACACGGATTCGGTCATGATAACGATTGTTAATTCTAAGCATTGTGAATTTGACCATGATTCGTTTCAGTTCTGATTGATTACTTTAGTATGATTCTGCATTGTTTTTAAAAATGCAGTGTGAATTTATTTTGGCGAATGCATCATGTATTGAATGTGATATGCCAGTAATATGCCAGAATCAAGTTGAAACACCACTTCAAATCAGTTCATCCAGGCAGTTTTATACCTTTAAAGATGAATCTCACTGATTTTTCATGCATGATTTCTGCATAATTCAATCAATGAGATGTAAACAAAGTGATAGGAACCTGAGGTCACAATGTCTACAACACAAATATAGCCACTTTATTCACTATCCAACCTACATACATGTCTTATGTAAAGTCAGTAATGATAAAATAGTGGTAAATCTGACTAATACGTTTTTTTTTTGGTAGAATATTTTGCCTTATAATGCCATATTTCATGTAATATCTTTCCGTGAGCGAGCCTTTACAACGGGGTTGTCAAACTCAACCAGTAAAAGGGCTGTATTAAAAAATCTCATCAAATCTGTGGGCCAGAGAAAAAAAACATTTTATTCCATTTTAAATTAATGTGCTGTAACCTGAACTGGGCATTGTTTATTCAAAATGTTCAAAAACTTCAACAGTAAAATACAGACACTTGTAGTAGACCTTGAAATATTATATTGACACTTGAAATATTCAGAATTTTAACGTCCCCAGGAGCTCAGTCTTTTAAACCTACCTATTTGCTTTAACTAGACATATAACATCCATTCTTTGCTTCAAGTTCATTAAGACTTGGGCTCAATTTCTGAGCTGCTGAGTTGATGTTAAGTGTTTATATTGGCTGAACTGCAGCTGAAATGCATTTTAGTGATATGACTGGTGTGGAGCTGCACAGAATTGTGTAGAATTGAGGTGTAATCTCTGACCCATACACTGTTGTTGGGGTAGGAGAGTTGGAGCGCATTACGTTGCAGTGCATGCTGGGGACTGTAGTGCAGCACTTTGTGAAACGCGCTAATATTAATGGAAAATTAAAATGCTGTGGCGAACCAGATAGGATTGTGTGGCGGGCCTGATCTGACCCACGGGCCTTGCGTTTGACACATGGGCTCTAGAGGCATTAAACGCTTCAGACGTCTGGTTCCTATCACCACCACTGTGAACAATTCTCTACAATTGTTGTAATTTCTCTAGACTAGTGCATTTCCACTCTGAATTATTTTGTTTACATCTTAATGACTTGATCATGCATTAAAATGGAACCTTTACAAGATATTTGCATTGCATGATTCTTTTAAAAGGGTACTTTGCTTTTGCAGGTGCATTCGACTTTCATTCGAGTCTGCGTGTTCCGCTGTAGCACGCTGTGTTTAAAGGAGTCTATAGTAAGATTTATATCCATCTCTGATTCCTCACAATAAAAAGGATTCAAAAAAGCACTTTGGGTGAAAAAGGTCCAGCAGGATTCCTCTCAAAATGCGTCTGTGGGCACTTAGCCGGAGATGTATGGAGTAGCTTGGACAGCCCAGGGCTTGGTCGTAAAGCGATGAGCATTTTTTGCCCTCTCCACTAAAGCATTACCTCAGAGAATAAATAAAACAGCGTCTCTGCACACTTTCTCCTCTCGCTCTGCAGTCGGGGGCTATGAAAAATGCATGGGAGCCACCGTGTTTTTGCCCCCCCCCCCCTGCCCTGCTCTGGGTCAGGCTTAGGCGCAAAACCTGCATGCTGAATGGCTGGCAGGTTCAGAGAGGTTCTCGCCGCCAGGAGGACCTCGCTGACCTGCTGCAGAAGGCATGCGCGTCTGTGTGGAGTGCAGCATGACAGATAACCACATGTGCTAGCTGCTGTGCTGAGATTTAATGTGCTCAGCCCGGGGCATCAGTATGTAAATTAAATTTGATGCATATGCATATGCTTGTGTGCATACATTTGTGATTAGTTTGAGTGCTGAGATTCCCCAGCTGGGTAAACAACATGGAATCAGGTTGTCTTTAGAGGTCATAAGAGTTGGCCTGGACCAGTGCGAAGGAAAACCCACCAATTTATAGACCCACAAATCTGTAAGACTGTCATGTTGAACATCATACAGTTCTCAACCAGAAGGCATGCAGTGAAATTTAACAGGGACTTTAGAGTGCCCAGCCAAAAATGAATGTGTGTTTCGAAACAGTTACTTGTTTTCTGGAATTTCTGATCTATTATGCCTTATTTTCTCAAAATAAGAACAGAGTAATAACTTATTTTTCACTGTTTTAAAGAACAAAACGATGTGAACTCATTACTAAGTCAAATTTCAAGGAAATGAGACATTATTTTGAAGTAAGGAGTCACAAAGTGAACCAGAACTTTTACCAGGCTTTCTACCAGGCATATGTTAATTGTGAAGTTGCACCTGCACAGCAGTTCTTAAAAGGTAACCAGCTGAATTGGCTGCCTTGCCAGGTCAAAGTGTCAGTAAACTGTCGGTATAGCCCCTCTTTTTATAAATCTGTCCCTAGATCTGCTTTTGATTATTAGGGCTTGAAGAATGCTATAGGATGTTGATTGCTTACGGCTGAAAATATTCCAAAGTTTGAGCTCTCTTGCTGGTTATTTCATAAAGAATAACACAACAAAGATGAAACACTATATTTGAGGGTCGCCTCTGTTGTTGTCCCCCTTTCAGAGATATGACCATGTTTTAATTAAATATATATGTGTATACAATATAAGGCTCACTGTGACTAGACAATTGATGATTAACATAAGAGTTATACAGTGAGGACCCAACATTAGCCTAGCACAGCGCTCATCTCTGCCATACACTGTTCTGTTCAGGTAATAAAATAATAACATGCAAATAAATGCAATATTATTATATGCAACTTGTGTTACGGTCACTTTTAAACAAACTTTGAGTGTAAAAATGAGGAAAATCCAAAAATCTGAATAAAAAAGTCTGAAAAAAATGGGAAGAAAAAACAGGATTTGGGAAAAGTAAAGCAGATTAGTTATTTTAGGTCTTTTCTATTGGTTCATTACGTGTTCACACAATGCAAAAGGATGGCTGGCATTTTCAAATGGTGTAAATAAAAAATGTTTATGTATTTGTTGAAAAGTTTTTATATGATACTGACAATATGTAACCTGACAGACAACCATGTTTGGCCTGCACTGCACTGAACAGACAGATAAGGACTACACTCTCTTTCCCACCTTTCTCAATGAGAGGACTCTCAGTCGTGGGTGGCTGTGAACCTGGGCACTAGAAAAATGCAGCAGTTGTAATATTTAGTGGCCAACTGTGCCATTGGAGATTATTCTTTGAATTCAAATCATTACTATAATTGTCATTATTGTCACCCAAAGTGAACATAATATCAGAATTACGTAACGCCAAAGATAAACTGTCCTAAGATTTCTGTACATCCATTGTAATCAATTGTAACAAAGTGTGTCCTGTCGCTCTCTTGGCAGGTGAGCATCTGCGAGTGTGTCCGCAGGGATACACCTGCTGCACCAGTGCCATGGAGGAGACCCTGTCCAACCTGAGCCGCAGGGAGTTCGAGGGGCTGGTCAGAGAGGCCGGACGCTCCATCCAAGCTTCACTCAATGCCCAGTACAGGAGCTTTGACAGTGAGTAGAGAAGCACTCAACCACAACACAAGCATACAATCATACTGATGGTGAATCGCACTTCACTTTGATTTGGAATTGATGAGTATTGTATTGTAAACCAGGCGACACGGTGGTGCAGTGTGTAGCGCAGTCACCACACAGCAAGGAGGGCCTGGGTTCGGTTACCCGGCCGGGCGACCAGGGTCCATTCTGTGTGGAGTTTGCATGTTCTCCCCGTGTCTGCATGGGTTTCCTCCGAGTTCTCCAGTTTCCTCCCACAGTCCAAAGACATGCAGTCAGGCCAACTGGACATGCGTAATTGCCCCTAAATTGTATATGTCTGTGTGTCTGCCCTGCGATGGACTGGCAACCTGTCCAGGGTGTTTCCTGCCTTCCGCCCAATGACCACTGGAATAGGCTCCACCATCCCCAACCTCCCCTGCCCCTCTGCAACCCAGAGGGATAAGCGTTTTGGAAATGTGTGTCTGTATTGTAAACCCACTTTAAAGGATCCATTCTTTGCCTTAGCACTTGAAAGTGGAAGTACATTTTGAAAATGTCCGCAAGTGCTTTGACGTGGATACCTGGTTGGAGGCTAATTCATGTGGATTTATTAGCAAAGAAAAAAGTTAGATGTATTAATACGCATCTAGATCAGTGACTAGCAGTCAGGATTTGCTGAGCATCATAGGAATTCCCAGCAGTTGAGTAATATATTTGAATAATGCATGCTGGGCATTGTAGTGAGTGAATACTGATGGACGAAAACACTAAAAAATATCTTATTACATGCTAGTTTTAGGGCATTTTCACACCTGAAAGTCTGGACCAAGATCCAAACCAAAGCTCATGTTTTTGTTACATTGTATACATTTGATCCAGTTAGTTTTGGTTTCACATTTCAATTTAAAGTGCACTAAAGAACTTTGCATGACACACCTGCGTCCTGTCGTTTTCACCTATGTGGGCTGCGTCTCCCTATACTTGACACTGATTGATTTGTAGGGGTGCATGTGTCTGATGCCGGCGTGTGGTCAATTCGGCAGCTAGCCATTTCCGTTTGAATGGAGAAAAATGAATATCCTCTCTCTTTTATCTTCTCAGAAAATAAAGTAGAAGTTTCGGCATTTTTATGTGTTTTTTGAAGTTGACGTTTGACTTTTTCGTTGGACCAAATCACAGTTAAATATCTTGTCTCCTCATGAGCTGCCATGGCCCATTTCCTCTTCTCTCCAGGTTCTTTTTCTTCTTGGGTGATGACAGCCTGCCTCAACTTCCTGTAATTGGCCAGAAAGTCTGAACCATCCAAAAAAGTGTTTTCACACAGCAAACGAACCAAACCATGGTTCAGTTTGATCTGGACCAAGACCACCTATTTTGGTCTGAACAAATATAGGTCCTTTGGTCCAGACCATGGTCCAAGGCACCTTTCACACCTGCTATTTTGGTTCGGACCATTAGCACGGGGTATAGTGGAAAGATAGGAGTGTGCTTACATGCACTTAATAATCTGATAACTGCAGAAAATCAGATTTAGTCAGTAATCCGACAGTAAAACGCGTTTACATGCACTTGGGTAATCAGATAATGGGGAAACTCCAGGTCTGCATGAGTCAGACAGTAATCAGATTTCTGTTTTGCAACCAGCCAATAGACTCACAGAAGAAGACAAGACGTAAACATAACATAAAACTCAAACTTCATGCCGCAGCTTTTTTTAAACTTAGCGCCACTTTACCTAAAAATATGAACATATATCATCTAGAAGATGAAGAATATTTAAATCCTTCACTTCGTCAAGCATGTAGTCGGTTTATGGGGCTGGAATGGGGGCGGGTTGTTCTTTAAACGGAAAATAATAAAAAAAAAATGAATAGTATGCATTTGGTTTCAGCATCGCTCCAAAAGTGCTTGGCTGCCACCTTGCGGCAACACTGCTTGCTTATTTCCAGTACCGCTGTCTTTTTTCACACATGTGCAGACGGAGAAATCTGAAAGACATCAGAGTAAGAGTTTACATACACTGAGAAATCTGATTACTGAGCTAAAATCCAGCTCTCTTTATCAGATTTCTTAATCAGATTGCTAGGCCTTACTCCGATCTAAGAAATCAGAGTATGCTGTTTACATGACCATTTGAATAATCAGATAACCCCAGAAGTCAGAATATGATTGTAACATATGTGAACACGATCCTTTGAGTCTGAAATTGGGACATTTTGCAGTTGTCAGAAGGGGCGAATCGAACCTCAGAATTGATGAGCCCCCCATTGTGGGCCAGGCATAAACCACTGTATCACTAAAGGCACTTTTGCCTTCTTCTAGAACTTGAGAATAAGTTTTTCTACCAGTAATTATCCCATAGGACTTAAGACGTTGCTGAGCTGACCTAAATCTTAACTCCAAATGTAATAAGGACTGTTTCTGGCTCTAATTATACTTGAAGCATGTCTGAGAAGGCTGTGAAAGCTTCTGTCCTGACCCCGACATTATTTTTTTTCCGTGTAAACTTGACAAAGGCCAAAGTACAGGGGGCAGCAGAGAGGCGAGGCAAAGGATGTTTAGAGGGTTTGCCGTCCAGCAGGACTGAGCCCAGCCTCCACTTTATCACCAGTGCTTTCTCATTCAAATTCATCTGGTTTGGATTAGCGTTTTTATGCTCGCCCTTTAAGAGCACCTGGCCAAATGAACAGTAGAGGTGAAGGGTGAGGACTTTGAAGCGCACATTCTCTCCTGGTTTGTGTCATAGTAAGTGCAGATTAAAGAGAAAAGGAAATGTTCTTGCTCTGTCACACCAAGTGACCCTGTAGGAGCCCATGCAGGCGCCTTTCATGGCCCTCTCCAGCAGTCCCCCATTAAAACATGATAAACTATGATAGACTGTATCCGGCAGTAATGACAAGAAACTTAGCAGGAGGCGAAGTACCCTTCATGCTGTATAAAGCCATTCTTTGAAAAATAAGATATATTGCGTGTGGAGGTCATTGTATGGGTGATTTCAGTCAGTGAGGCAGTGTTAGGGAACCAGCATTGTGCATTCACAGCCTGCATTGGTCCAGCCATGAGCACTAAGAACTTGCTTTAAAAGTAAGATGTTCACACAGCCACTCGTTGGTTACAAGTTCCATGAAGCATTAGTTTTGTGCCACTTGAAAGCAAGTAGTCTCTTTTGTGAATAAAATATTTTTCCCCATATTTCTGTTATCAGAAAAACTGGGACGATGCTGGCTCTCTGTGTGAAAGGTTGTGACTCTGTGTTGAGCTGCTACAGAGCAATGAGGGCTGAAAAGGCAGTGAGGCCTACTGTGAAAACTACTCACACTTCTCCACAAAGACAGCCAAGCTGAGATCAAACTGCAGCTTTCTTCATATAAACATGTTATATATACTTTTTGCATGTTGTGAGTTTCCTGCAATGTCATTTTTGGACTACACAAAGCAACTCAAAAACAACCAAAGTCACATGCAACTCATTTGATAACGCCACTAGTTAGCAAGTTAGCAGCTCATATTTTTCATACACTGTATCATTCTCACTGTATAAAGTCATGTCCAATGCTGATTTCAGGTAAATAAAGGGTTATTTACCTGAAATCAGCATCGGACATGATGCTGTTTAATTCATCCATCCACATGGTTGCAACTGTTTCAAGTGAGTTGCAGGACTCTACCTGATACAACACAATTGAAAGTTAGTTTCATGTAGGTTTTAAGCGACTAAAGTTGTGTGAAAGTTTCTTTAACTTTATTAACTTAAACTTTATTGACTTTATTGTCATATTGCCAACCAGGACAATATACAAAACCATCCCAACAAACCAGAGTGCAACTGATGTCTGAGGCCTACACCATATGTCCAAGATGTTTGCGTGTTAGTCTTAGCCCATAAATCTGACCGCTTCCCATTTTGAACGGCGTTTATCTCTTTCCATTTCTTAAATCCTTTAATCTGAACAAGTTGCCATGTGCTATCTGATGCCATTTAACCGCCTTCCCAAAAGCAGAGACATGCCGCTCCAAAACACAGACAGAAAACAAGTTTTCCCTTTTATCTTTTCAAAGGAAATTCAGCAGCTATGATTCAGCACTCGCTCCGAACTGTTCACTCGCTTGTTTCTCTCGGGACGGCTTCTGAGCTGGAGGACAAAGCTCAAATACTTTCACACACCCTTCATCTGCTCCCAAGACACACGCATGTTTACCATGGCACTTTAAAAACTCTCCTGGCATCACAACCCAACGACAGATAGCTCTTTGAAATATTCAGAAGAGAGGCGCCAGTCAAAAAATACTGTATTATATGTTCGATGAAAGATTCATACTTCTTACACAGTACTCTTAGGGAAATAACTCACCAGTGACTACTGATGGATCCTTTTTGGAAGGCCAGAGAATGGACCTCTAAAATGGTCTGAAACCACCAGGGACATTTGAAGTCAAGCCCATTCAGCAGAACTTAATTTTCAGTCTAATATATCAAAAATACCCCTAGAAATGTGTGGTAAGTGAAAAGCATGGCCTGTGAATTAGATTCAGTACAGTCTCAGAGCTGCCTAAATTAAATTGACCCCAGGCCTGGTGACCGTTTTGATGTGAGCCTGTCTGAAACCCATTTCATGCAGACTGGAGCCTGACTGATATGTTGTTTGGCAGGATCGGTATTGCCACAAACCTCACAGATAAAGCGGAAAACTTTATGGGCAGATTGTTTTACATTGTAATGAACATAAGATACACCAGATGTGAGGAGACTCACTCATTTCCAGGGATGATTAATGATTATCTTCTTTACAAAGTCTATACAAAGATTTTGCCAGCTATCGCTTGCCTTTATTATAGCCATTCAAGCTACCACAAAACACCATCATGGTTACAGTAACACAAGCATGTAAAATGCACCCAAATCTAGACTTTAGCATTAAAATAACATTCCAGATAGCAAGCATATATTGGTCCGCAGGTTTGATAAGGTCAGCACCCTACTGATCGCATGCCACTGCTGGTCCACTCTAGTGGGCCACTGGGCCACTATCCTCTTGCTATTTAAGATATTTGAAATGTGAAAATTTCCCAGAGAAATCGATATACAAACATCAACTAGCCTACTAGCCTATTTCACTGTAGCTTCTATAACCAGAGGGAAAAGAAAATTGCAAGACAGCACATGATTAATCAGCTAGTTTCTTACTATAACAACTGACAGCATAACAGCAGGTAAACGCTAATTAACCAGAGTTCTACTATGCAGGGATGTTTAGGAAGAATGGCTACCCAAATGGAAAATATATTCCAAATGTATTTATCATAAACACCGATCAGGCATAACATTATGACCACCTCCTTGTTTCTACGCTCATTGTCCATTTTATCAGCTCCACTTACTATATAGGTGCACTTTGTAGTTCTACAGTTACAGACTGTAGTCCATCTGTTTCTCTGCATACTTTGTTAGCCCCTGTCAGTCAGGACCCCCATGGACCCTCACAGAGCAGGTACTATTTGGGTGGTGGATCATTCTCAGCCCTGCAGTAACACTGACGTGGTGGTGTGTTAGTGTGTGTTGTGCTGGTACAAGTGGATCAGACACAGCAGTGCTGCTGGAGTTTTTAAACACTGTGTCCACTCACTGTCCACTCTATTAGACACTCCTACCTTGTCAGTCCACCTTGTAGATGTAAAGTGAGAGACGATAGCTCATCTGCTGCTGCACATTTTGTGTTGGTCACCCTGTAGTCCTTCATCAGTGGTCACATGACGCTGCCCACAGGATGCTGTTGGCTGGATATTTTTGGTTGGTGGACTATTCTCAGTCCAGCAGCAACACTGAGGTGTTTAAAAACTCCAGCAGCACTGCTGCATCAATTTTACCCAGTGTTCCACTTACCCCAAATGTGGTTAATCAGCCAAGACATGATTAGAGTTCAAATTTTGCTTCTTTAGTTTAGAACTGAAGCAGCAAGGCTAACGTTGCTAACAAACACTAGGGCCCATAGAAAAAATAGCTCAAATTTCACTTGTTTCTGTGAAAATACATCCGCAAAACTTCGCTCAACCCACTTAAACTGCGTCCAGGTCTTCATTAAGGTTGCGCAGACTGGCTGATGTGGTTTAGAGCACAGTAACTTACTGTGAGCTGTAAAAATGAACAAAACTTCACCACCACAGGCAGCCATTTCACACAACACCAGGGCTGGTATTCACAAAGCAGGGCTGATTTTGGATCAGGGCCCATTTTCAGAAAGCTTCTCAGAGTAGAAGTGCTGGTCTCGGACCAGATTCCTCTGTTATTTACTGTGACTTTACTGACAGGAACGGATCCTAGATCAGCGCGTCTACTCTGAGAAGCTTTATGAAAATGGGCCCTGATCCAAAATCAGCCCTGCTTTGTGAACACCAGCCCTGTATTCATGAAAACGAATCCAGGTTCTTTAATATTTATGACAGTCATTTGTCACAAACACTGATTCTAGATCAGCAGTCCTACTCCAACAGACCCTGTGGCTAAAATGGCTCGCTGCAGCGTTCAGCTACAGAATGAAGTTTTGTTCTTTTTTATAGCTCACAGTAAGTCATACTAAACAACACTGACAGGTTGAGACAAGCATTGATGATGTTTTTTTGCAGAAACGATATTGGCGGCTTGGGTGACTATTGAGTTTCTATTGTTTGTTAGCAATGTTAGCCTCACCGCTCCGGTTCTAAACTAAGTTGTCTAAACATGTCTTGGCCGATCAGCTGCACCTGGGCTTAGTGGAAAGTAGTGTAAATTAGATTTTTCACCAGAAGCAATTCCTTTGAGATGGAAAAAAGCAGGAAGAACTCAGCAAATTGGTTTATTCTGTATTGTAAGAGCACAAGACAAATTTCATTTTGGGATATTTATTATTATTATTGATATTGGAGTTTTGTTTTTTTTTAAGTGTTAGAAATCTAGTGGGGGCTGGCCTTCTGGCCCCCATTACTATGCCCCTGATTTGAAGAGAACCGAAAACCTGTTATTTGAAAAGAATTGATGAAAAATGAGTGCTGATTAACATAAACCAACAAAACGCCTAATACAGTATTTCTGTTATCAGAGACTCTGTTATCTTATTATTTTAGGTTTATAACTGTTTATTTGAGTTGAAGAAAGATTATATTTGACAGTTCACTCACTGACAATTGACAATCAGTAAAGTGTTTAACTAAAACATCTGTAGTCTGTTTAATTTTTGACCATATTAAATTATATCAGCCAATATTATTTGTCATTTGATTTTGTAGCTCCCTAAAATCGTTATCAGTATCAATTAAACATGTTCATATCACTCTAGCCGCTTGTGATGTTTTCCTCCACAGCATATTTTCTGGAGCTCCTGAACGGATCTGAGCGCTGGCTGGAGGAAGCTTTCGTTAAAGCTCTGGGTACTGTGTATGGGCCCAATGCGGGAGTCTTCCGAGACCTCTACTCAGACCTGCGGCGGTACTACAGGGGTGCGGCGCTGAACCTGGAGGAGGCGCTGGATGAGTTCTGGACGCGTCTGCTGGAGCGTCTGCTGAAGGCCTCCGACCCGGCTGCTGCCTCCCTCATCTCAGACGACTTCCTGGAGTGCGCGTCCAAGCAGACCGAGACGCTGCGTCCGTTCGGTGAGGCTCCTCGCGAGCTGAAGGGCCGGCTGGTGCGCGTGTTCATCACTGCCCGCACCTTTGTCCAGGGCCTGAACATGGCCGGAGAGGTCGTGAGGAAGGTTTCTCAGGTACACTGAGCACTATTTCTTAAATTTGTATCACGGTTTGTTTAAACTAATGTTTGTTTAAACATCATGTTCTTTGGTCACTGTGTTCTGAATGAGCATTTAGCCCTATGCTGTGAAAATTTGTAGCATAAAACTATTATTTACCTATAGAGTTATAGCTGAATTCTGGCTGTTCTAGTTGTCTAGATATCAGCTATCTACTCAAATACTCAGTTAACTGGTCCAGTTGCCAGTATTCAATACTAAAATTACTATTTAAGTATTCTTTATGTTTCATTACGCAAAGACAGAGAAAATATACAGACCAACAAGTCCGTAAAACGGCGATTGTAACGTGACTGAGAATTGTGGAAGTTTTGTTTTTGTGTACTTGAGCATCATATTAAACTTATTACACATACTACAAAATACAATTGGCTTGATTTCAGCATGTTGCCAAGGATGCATCAGAGCATGACTTTTTCGCTTATTAGGTGTTAGCTAGTTACAGTTTTGTAAAAAGTATATGCCCCCTCTCCCAATTTCTGCATATTTTTCACACTTCAGTGTTTGAGATCATCAAACTACTTAATATTAGACAATAAAAACCCAAGTAAACACAAAATGCTGTTTTTAAATGCTGATTTCATTTACTGAAGGAAACATGCTGTTCAGTCCTACCTGGTCCTATGTGAAAAAGTAGCTGCTAAATCAACCAGTTAACCAAATTAAATTGACAGTTGGGTTCAATTTCACTAGCCATACCCAAACATGATTACTGCCAGACCTGCTGAATCTAAACATCACTTAAACAGAACCTGTCTGACAACGTGAAGCAGCTAGAATGTCTCAAAAAGCAGCACATGATGCCAAGTTTTACATAGATTCAAATACAGATGCAAAACAAAGTTATTGAACTCTACCAGTTTGGAAAAGGTTGCAAAGCCATTGCTGGGGCTCTGGGACTCCAGCAAACCACAGTGAGAGCCATTATCTAAAAAAAGGAGAAAACTTGGAACAGTGGTGAACCTTTGCAGGAGTGGCTCGCCTAACCAAAATTTGACCAAGAACACATCGATGACTCCTCCAAGAGGTCACAAAAGAACCCAGACGAACATCTAAAGAGCTGCGGGCCTAACTTGCCTCAGTTAAGATCAGTGTACATGATTCCACAATAAGAAAGACACTGGGCAAAAATAGCATAGATGGGAAAGTTGCAAGGGCGAAAATCACTGCTGACCAAAAAGGACACAAAGGCTCGTCTTACATTTGCCAAAACACATCTAGATGATCCCCAAGACTTTTGGGACAATATTCTATGGACTGATGAGTCAAAGGTGGAACTTTTTGGAGGACATGGGTCCCGTTACATCTGGCGTAAAGCTCACACTGCATTCCAGCATAAGAACATCATACTAACAGTGAAACATGGTGGTGGTAGTGTGATGGTCTGGGGCTGCTTTACTTCTGCAGGACCTGGACAACTTGTCATAATTGATGGAATCATGACTTCTGCTCTCTATCAGAAAATCCTGATGGAGAACATCTGTCCGTCAGTTTGTGACCTAAAGCTCAAGCGCAGTTGGGTTATGCAGCAGGAAAATGATCTGAAACACGCAAGCAAGTCCACCTCTGAATGGCTCAGAAGAAACAAAATGAAGGTTTAGGAGTAGCCCAGTCAAAATCTAGACTGAAATCCCATCTCAAGACTTTAAATGGTCAGAAAAGTGCAAAAACCCTCCAATGTAGCCAAATGAAAACATTTCTGCATAAAAGAGTGGCCAAAATTCCTCCACAGTGATGTAAAAGACTCATTGCAAGTAATTGCAGTCGTTTGATTGCAGTTGTTACTGCAGAGGGTGGCACAACTAGTTGTTAGGTTTAGGGGGGCAATTACTTTTTCACATGGGTGATATAGGTTTTGAAAAAATCGTTATCTTCAGTAAATGGAATGATCATTTCAAAGGTGTATTTTGTGTTTAGTTGTATTGTCTTTATCTTATATTAAAATTAGTTGGATGGTGTGAAATGTAAGTGTGGCAAATTAACAAAAATAGAAGAAATCAGGTGAGGGGCAAATACTTTTTCATGGCACAACCATAATCACTACTGTCAACAAAAATTAAAATTGAAAGGTAAAATAATCACAGGCGAGTTCTAAGATTATATGCGTTCTGCTCTTTATCACATCTTACCATAGTGTTTTTACAGGCAGTTGTGCTGACTGTCTTGTTTTAATGCCTAGGAGGTCATTTTTGGTCAGTATGTGAAACTGCACATGCAAAATTAAAAAAAAAACAAAAAAACATAAAAATAGATGTGATACATGCTGAAAAAACTCCAAAATATCTGTATATTCCAGAAAAAAATGCTCGGCTGTTCCTTTGACGATAAGGTTAATGAAGAAAACCATCATGAGGTTAATGAAGAAAAAAGTCATTAAAACGTAATGGGTCAGCTGGGACTCCTTAGTTTGTCTATGAGCTGTCCCATGCTGGTTACAGCAGCCTAAGCACTCTCTGAAGGCTGTGCTTCATATTTCTCTTATTGATGTACTGCAGAAAAAGAAGCATGGACTTTGATTTAATGAGTGTTAAATTTGTCCCAAAAAGCTTTAGAAATAAAACACATTGCGTGCCTGCCAATGTTCTCCTGAGTGAAACTGTACAAGGAAATTTAGTCCAGAGCAGCTGTCCTTCCTCTCTAAAAGCTAAAGCTCGCAGCTCCCTTGATGAATGAAAATAGGGCGCAATGCGACAGCTCTCTGCTTTAAGAGACTACCTACAGAGCAGGAGTAAACCCTCCCGCATACCAGTGTCTCCCTCATGATTAGGCCAACGTATCAGGACAGAATATTGCATTATGTTGTGATAATGGATTAAATCTGTGTTACAGAGGCCGAATCAGAGCTCTGCTGTCAACCTTTAAACACTTTCTATTATTAATAAATAAACAGCCTACAATATGTTTAGTTTGCCAGTTTGATTTGACTGTGATTCGTTAAAAAAATTATTCAATGCAAGCATGATTTGATTATTATTTTATTTGAATCAAAAATGATTTTAAAACTGCACTGAATGTACAAAGATGCCTGGCCAAAATATTTGGGCATACTTTATTAACGTTTTTTTCTAATTGATTAAAAAATAAAATCAATGCAGCTGAGTTGCAACCTTGACTTAACTCAGACTGGAAAGAGTTTGTTTTAATGGAAACATTTTTTGAATTTCTCTTGACTGGAGTGTAAAACCTCCAGGCTCAGTCAAACTCTGCTGATATGGTGCAAAGTCTCCCGGCTCATGACCAAGTCAAACTCCTTCGCTGCATTGTGAATTGTCCCAGCCCCACTGCTTAGTCAGACTCTATTGCCACATCACAAAGTTTTCCAGCCTGCAGCTCAGCCAAATGCCACCATTGTGGTTAAAAATCTTCCAGCCTGTGGCCCAGTCGTGCGCCACCCCCGCAGTGAAAACTCTCACGGCTCGGGGCCCAGAAAAACTTCACTACCAAGATGATGTCTCCCAGCCTGTGGCCCAGCCAAACTCTGCCACTGTGATGAAAACTCTCACAGCCCACAGCCCAGCTAAACTCCACCAATGTGTCTTACAGCTCATGGCCCAGCTAAATTCCGCCACTGAAGTGAAAAGTCTCATAGTCCATGGCCCAGCCAAACTCCACCAATGTGGTAAAAAGTCTCCCAGCCCATGGCCCAGCCAAACTCCACTAATGTAGTAAAAAGTCTGGGAGACTTTTTGGCCCAGCCAAACCATGGCCCAGCCAAACTCTGGCACTGTAGTGGAAAGTCTCATAGTCAGTGGCCCAGCCAAGCTCCACCAATGTGGTAAAAAGTCTTTCAGCCCACGGCCAAGCCAAACTATGCCACTGCGGTGAAATGTCTGCCAGCCTCCAGCCCAGTCAAACTCCGTCCCATGGCCCAGGTAAAGTCCGCCACCATGGTGAAAAGTCTTCCAGCCCGTGGCCCAGTCAAACTCCGCCATCACAGTGGCATTCTCAGTTGACAGTGGGAAAAATCCCCAGTTAGTGGGAAATTTTCAAAACTACTAAAACTAAACTAAAAACATACCACAAACAGTACAAAACATACGAGAAGTCCATATAAAGCAGCAGGAAAAATGCACAGTGTTCTTACAATGGATGTGACCATGCACCAACTTTTATTTCTTGCAGCTCTCCATGAGACTTCTTACCTGTTTCTGTTACAGATAAATGTTCAAGATTACAGTGTCCATTAGCAACGTGAAGAAACTGACATAAAGAATGTCTCTTTCAGGTCCCTCTGACCCCTGAGTGTAACCGTGCCATTATGAAACTGGTGTACTGTCCGCACTGCCGCGGCCTGGGCTCGGTCAAACCCTGCGCCAACTACTGCAAAAACGTCATGAAGGGCTGTCTGGCTAACCAGGCTGATCTGGACACAGAGTGGCAGAATCTCGTGGGTTAGTGAGATGCACACAAACACACTGATGTACACAATGTATTATTATCTTTGTGAAGTTTTTCCAACATGTTTCACTATGTAAATACTGGTACATCACTGTCTTCACCCAAATCCATTCCTACCCTTAACCTCAGTAAAAAAAAGGAATCCTTTGGCTTGTTTAAGGTTTTGGATTGAACAAAAGAACATATTTTTCTTCATGAGAATCAGCAAAATGTCCTAACATTTGCCTGAATTTACATAATTTCCAACTACTGTAGGAACATTTTGTTCCCCCAGAAGCAGCCATAATTCATACCCGTCTTTTCTCATTTATAAAAGTCTAGAAAAGCCTTACACTCACTTGTAAACGAGTGCAGCTGTAAAAAGGTGTTTTATAAGGAAATTAAATGTTGAACTCGTTTACATGGGGCACTTGTAGTTCATCAGTGTGCATAAAATCACAGGGAAAATTTGGGAGCAAACAGTGACAATGCAATAAACAGATAATTAGAAGTCCCAATTTGGATGTTTTCATATCATACATTAAAAACTCTCTCTCTCCTCGGTCAGACACTATGCTGCAGGTGGCCTCTAGCTTTGGCACAGAGCCAAGCATGGACATTATTCTCCACTCGATTCCCGTACGCATCTCCGAGGCCGTGCTCCACATGCAGGAGAACATGGAGCTCTACACCAGCAAGGTCAGAGGAGTTCAAAGAAAAATTCTTTTTAAAATGTATTTCAGTTGGGTGCATTGATGGCTTTTTGTTGTTCATCAGAAACACGTGGATGAATTTTTGTTTTGATCGTGTGTGTGCTGTGCAGGTTTTCCAGGCTTGCGGGGACCGTGGAGAGGACGGCACACAGAGCTCAGTGTCTGAGGAGCCCAAAAAGAAGGAAAGCACAGTGACGCCGCTGGAGTACAAACCCAGCTCCACAGCTGCGGTCAGACTGGAGGTGCAGGTATGTATGTGCTAATACACTGACTCTTGTGGAACATTGTTGCTCCAACTCCAGCTCCCGTCAGTCTCATGACACCCGACTGAATTAGGGTGGTCATGATACCTGAAAGATAAACTGAAAGAAGTAGCATTACTGAGTCATAAGAAAAATACATGCTACAATATAGTAAGTATGCACTGCTCTAAGTTGGCCTGTAAAGCCTGGAATAATAATTTAAAAGTCATAGTTTTTTGGAACCCATGTTTACATATTAATGTCACACTCACAGACTCACAGGAAGAAAGTCTGACTCGAAGTTTAGGTCTCAAATGCAAAATCAACTTTATACTGATGAAGATATACTGACAGTAGTAGATAATTCACTCACATCCTTGGAAGATACATCCTTCACCAAGTTTTGACTGAGTTCTCTTTGCATACTCTTTCAATCCACTCACAATTATCAAATTGATTTGTCATATTGCAAAATGTTCTTATGCACATTGCATGCAGTTACACATTTCCACCAGAGGAGTCTACAAACCCCCAAAACTTGCATAGTGCCGCTTTAAATTAATGTAATAAGTAAGATGTTTTTGAAAGTTATAAGACGTGGACATACAGCAGGGTCCGAAGGTCCGAAGACCACACAGAAATGTATTTATTTTATTCATTTAAACGTTTCATTTAAACTTGGAGATTTCTAGACCTCTATTTAAACTTAAGCAAATGTGTGACATTGAGCATGTTAAGGCCTTTGTACAAAAAGGTAAGATTTTCTTTCAGTCTTATCCATTTCATTAAAGCTCATGTTCACATGACTGTCTGGTGGACTTGATCTAATTAGAGGTTTCTGTACAAACTTGTGGAGCTCGAGTTCATGATGTCATCACAGCAAAAGAGGGACAGAATGCCAAATACTAAATGTGTGTAATTTATGTAGATTCTACCTTTTAGTCAAATTGTTATACTCATAATATAATTTATAACTCAAAACTTAGTTATTAAATTAGAGAGGATTGCGAAATAGAAGCATTTTCACTAGTGGTCTCAGAGTTTTGGACCCCTACTGTATATAACTCTCATTACACTGTGTTTAAAACAGAAAAGGTGTAATATTTATTGTTGATTGTTTCTAGAAGCACATCACTGAACAAACCTTTTTCGGCAGTGTTTTTTAGATGTCCTGATTTGTTAATTAGATGTTTCTCTTCACATCCAAGTCAAATGATCATTTGATTAACCTATAGCCAGAATACAATGCATGTGTTTACATGCACTCAATAATCTGATCAATATCAGATTTCTGCAGTTATCTGATTATTCGAATGGTCATGTAAACAGCACACTCTGATTTCTTAGATCGGAGTAAGGTCTAGAAATCCGCTCAATAAATCTGATAAAGAGACCTGGATTTTAGCTCAGTAATCAGATTTCTCAGTGCATGTAAAGTTCTCAGTCTGCGCATGTGCAAAAACAGACCGCCGTATCGGAAATAAGCAAGCAGTGTTGCAGCGCAACACAGCAAAACACTTTTGGAGCGCCACTGAAACCAAGCACATGCTTGACGAAATGAAGGATTTAAATATTCTTCATCTTCTAGATGATGCATGTTCATAGTTCCAGGTAAAAAAAAAAAATTATGTTACGTTTACGTCACATCATCTTCTGAGTTTATTGGCTGGTTGCAAAGTAGAAGTCTGATTACTGTCTGACTCATGTAGACCTGGAGTTTCCCCATTATCTGATTACTCAAGTGCATGTAAACGCATTGATTGGATTACTGACAAAATCTGATTTTCTGCAGTTATCGGATTATTAAGTGCATTTAAACGCACTCGGTGTAATGAAAGCCTGCGTTATGTTGAATTCTCACTGTAATAATGTTCAAAAAGGCCTGAATTTTCCTCAATTTTTAAATAAAGTGTTAGATAAATCATTCTTAAAGGCATTGTAATAAAACAGCCTGATTAATTCTAAGGATATAGAGAAATAAGGAAATAGTACTGTAAAAATTAATTATGGTACATAAATATCGAAATTGGCCCTCTGATGTACAATATAGGCCTTTTAACACAAGTTAATGTAGCAAAACAGGTTATTCTGGACTATTTCTGTCAGTCAGTCAAAATGATTTACAACCACCAATTATGTAAGATTATTAATAAATGTGGAAATTATGAGTTATGAGGTTTTGACATGCCAGTGACAGTGTATTTGTCTGTATGTTGTTTGTGGTTTTGTACAGGTCTCAGACGTGTCCAGTAAACTGAAGGAGATGCAGCTGTACTGGATCCAGCTGCCTTCTGCTCTCTGCAACAGTAAAGCAGCATCTGGCTCCTCCAATGATGACAAGTGCTGGAACGGCATGGCCAAAGCCAGGTACCACGGCCGTTTTTCTCTAAGCACTTTATGCCAGTCTTCCTGTCAACAGTGGAGGCGCTTGAATCAGGAGGTTATGCAGTATTAATGTGCTTAATTCAGGTTTAAAAACCACATTTAACATTCAGACCACAGCTCACAGTCAATATGTCCAAGACTGGTCTCAAAACAACCTTTCAACCTCTCATCTTTTTTTCAGTCACGGTAATTTTATAGATTTTTTGCGGGCTTCTTTCACTGCCGTGGAACACCCCTTTATTGAATAGACATCACACATGATTAATCACTGTGTGTTTGTGTCTAAATGCACGTGTATGAGACAGAATACCAAGCTATCATTTTGAATCATCAATAATTCATTGAGGAGGGGCGTGTAAAATATTGTGCTTCTCCTAGGACAGATTGATATGCATAATTTGATGAAAGCATGAAAAATTCATGTGCTTACATTCGGGCACTGCATAGTACCTGCAGGCCAGATGCAGCCTCTAGTTTTAGTATTGTTTTCTATAACAATCTGAAGTTGATCTAATAAAGGCTTGTATAGAAATGTCATGGATTCAGACCAGAGCCTGTCTGCTGACTTTTCATAAAATTGGCCCTTTTGAATAATGGTTTGTTTATCCTGGGCTTAGACAGCAACCACAGGAACAGAATGATGCTGTAGTTGTGGAAAAATGACAAAAACAGAGCTCATGTGATGCCTGTAATTGATTTGGTTTAATAGGTACCTGCCTGAGATCATGGGAGATGGTCTGGCCAATCAGATCAATAATCCAGAGGTGGATATCGACATCACCAAGCCAGACATGACAATACGACAACAGATCATGCAGCTGAAGGTCATGTCTAATCGTCTGAAAAACGCCCTCAACGGCAATGACGTGGATTTCCAGGACACAAGTAAGTGGAATTTGAACAATAAGGGAAAAAGGGAATGGGCGTCGGTTATGAGTTATCTGTCATTGTGTCTGTGTTGGTATTATTTGGTATTATGAGTTTATGAGGTATGGCTGCACAATATGGATGAAAGAAAAACACATCGTGGTTGTGATAATGCCTTGCAGCATAGTAAAAACACATACAGTACAGACCTTTACACAGTATTTAATGTGTTTTCATTTCTCATCAAAATATGCATTTTCACTGTCAGAAAAACAAACAATATATCGCTGCTGTTGGGAGAAAACCTCGTATCTCCATTTTTGTCATTTTTCAGCTTGTGACATATTTTGAAAATACCTGTTTTCTTTTACATTGTGTGTAAATTTCATGATGAATAAACCAAAAGAAACAACCCAAAATGACTTGGGGGAAAAAAGTCTGGTTCCATTGACCTACATTAAAAGTAAAGTATGTTTTTTCCTTCTCCTGTAAAGTTACCATTTTTGAGGTATGAGGTTTTGTTCCGACAGCAGCGATACGTATATATTTATCATCAAATACGTATAATATCAGAATTTAGTGTGTCCACTCTTTACCTTTATTACGTCTTACATTCTTTTCAGGAGACTCGCTTTCAATTTCTCAAAGAAACCTGCAGCCACACCTCCAAAGTTCAGTCTTAGAAGTTGCATTTTCTGCTTCTCACAATCCAAGTACTCAAACACATTCAGTGATGTTGAGGTCTGGACTCTGGAGTGGCCAGTCCGTTGTTCTGAGAACAGTCTTTATCGTGCTGTAGAACGATTTTCTTTTCAGTCAGATCTTCCAGAGGGTACTGCATGATGTACTAAAACTTGTTTGTGCTTATCAGCATTCATGATGCTTCAGTCAAAAACAAATCATCAGCTCCAGATGTTGTTATAGGTCCTCAAACTTGCTAATTTTGGCTGTGTTTGATCAAAGCTTTAAATGTTTGGGAATATTTGTAGCCTCAGTCATTCTGAATGGAGTGATATGTTTACTTTAAAAATGAATAGGTCTAAATAGGTTTGCTTTAGATGGCCTTTTCTGACCAATGTGGACATTTTGTATTATAATGCCTAACAGTCACTTAATGACATTTATAAAATAGATAGTTCTGGTCCTAAAATCTGATTGGCTGAGCTGCGTTCAAAGCCGTTGTTAAATAAACAATATACACACACCTATGACGCCTAACAGCGACTGAACTCTGTATCACTGCACCATGGCAGGAAAATTCCTTGTGCTGTTAATGGAATGATCTTTGAGTCTAATGCTGCTCGCATGGACCACCAAGTGTAGTGATGAAGTAAGAACCTGTTTTTTGTTTAAACTGAGGGACTGACAACTTATGTTCTTAACTAGAACTAGGCTGGTCAGCTAGCTAACAGGCTAAAAGAGCCAACAGCCTAAATAGCTCCATCATTAATATCACAGGCTTGAATTAAAGTAACTACAGTATGATTAACTGTAAAACGGCAGTATACAAGTCTAAAAATGTCACTTGAATGTCTTACAAGCTTCAAATGTTCGTGTTTCAGTCAGAAGTCGCATCAAACCCAGACTGAATCCCAAACGGCTCCTTACTCCCTAAAGGAAGTTCTAACCTCTACAGCCAAATAGAACATCATTTATTGCATATGGATGTGTCTGAGTCCCAAATAACTAATTTTAGCTGTATTTTGCTCTGTTGGGCTGCAGGATCCAGTATTTAAATCCCTACGTAGTGCACTATGCAGGGAGCAGGGAGCCATTTGAGATTCAGCCCCAACACGAGCCTGTCGTGGCTTATTGCTTTAATATATATAATAGCAAAGTTAGCTGTTGAGAGCTGCTGTAACCCAAAACTGATTTAGTAATTTAAAAGAATATCAAGTACCACCCCAGGACTTTGCGGCAGTGGTACTGACCAGACCGTATGATTATCAAATTTCACTAAGTATGAAGGCTAATCTTGAATCGGTTATTGCCATTTGCATAGACCTGTATCTTACATCAGCGTTCTTACTCAGAGACGCTTTACGGCCCTTGACCTTAAAGCCGAACGCAGATGTTTCATAATTTCATCTTCTTCTCATTAACACCTGCAGGTGATGACATCAGCGGCTCCGGAAGCGGAATGTGCATTGAGCCGTCCTGTGTCCAAGGCGGGCCACCAGCATTTGGCCCAAAACAAGACCGAGCAAAACTGGACGCCTACGGCCCAGAGAACAAAAAAGTGAAAGGCTCTGGACGTCAGATTCAGCCCTGCATCTCCTTAATCCTGCTGCTGCTCATCAGCCTCCTCCTCAGACGGTAATGGAAACACAGTGCTGCCAAACTGGACGGTTTAGGGTGGGAGTTAGTGGAAAGGGTGGAGTTCTGAGGAAAAACAGTGGTAAGCTAACAAAATTGCCAAAAGAATGGACCTTTCATCTCCGAGAGAGACAGAGGGAGTGATGAAATCTTCTTTTTTAATTTTCTTTTTTTTTTTAATGTATGTCGAGTTTTTTCTCTGTAACTTTGAATGTCAAAAAAAAGTAACAACTTAGAGAAGATTGGTGGTTTTTTGTAATGGTAAACGTTTCTCAAGCCTCTTAAGCAATCTACCCAAGCCATCACTTAGTTTCCCTGTGTTTCATTTCACAATGCTCGAGTCATACAAGGTCATACTTACACAACCGTTCTTCTTTTGAGCACTTCACAAATAAAAATCATAATCATGGACATGCCTTTAAGGAACGATCAAACAACTGTCCCACAATTTCAAAGAATCCCAAGTGATATAAACCAATTAGGTTAAGTAAAATTAGGCATTCCCTGATTAAGCAGTCGTAGGATTATAATGTCATTTTGCTTTATGCCCTTATTATTGCTAGATTTGAATTCAAAACAATAAATGTATGATATGTGAAGGTGGATGTAAAAAAAAACTTTCCTTAATTCAAAAATGATTGTAATGAACTTTCTTCAGCAGCACAATAACAGCTGATGTATCCGGAAGGTCTTTAAATAACCTACTTACAACACAAGAGTTGTACTGTATGAGGTTAAAATGTAAGTGCATGTATTTGCTATGAAGAGGCTGTGACTCCTGCTGAATAGTCAGTTTACTAAAATATTTTGGAAAACAAGTTTACAACAGTTGAAATAATGGAGTCAAAGAGTGAAAGAACTAACTGGAAGCTACAATACAAACCACTTTCAGCTTGCACACTAAATGACAACCTATTTTACAATGTATTGATATTGCTTGGATTGGATCTTTAAAGTGGTGGTTTGGCCAAAAATTAATATATACAATTTGTTTTTTCATTTTTTTTCTTTTGCTACTAAACTAATTAATTTGCTTATGTCAGCCAGCATACACCCACATCGGTTAGCATCGCGCTGAGTGATAGGGGGAGAAAGAGAGCCATCCTACCCACCTAGATAGAGCGAGGCCAGCTATACTTTCTTGGAATCCCAGGTATAAATGGCTAGAGATTGGGGGTTAACTCCAAGACTCAATGCGTCTGGCTATCAATACTGAGTCTGAATGCTTTAAGTTGACTCTGACTTTGACTGTTAACACCATGTTTTTTATTGGCTCGAGAGACATTTTGACCGGTGTATGCATTTTTTACTTTCTGTAGCGTTAGCTTGTGTAATTACAAGGCTACAGATAGCTGCAACAGCATCCCATCTTGCTAGTGCATAACAGCCATATCCAGCCCATAACTATTAGACCTTGAATTTGCCTGACACATCTTGGTATAATTACAGATTTTCATCATATGACTATGATCTGTAGTTTAGAGTGGTTTAATTTCCTCTAGATCACCTTTATCAATGGTTCTTTTGCTGCCTTGGTTAAAATTAAGCGGAGAAAATCTATCGTCCTTCACTACAGACAGCTGTGGTATCGCCACTTGGGCCACTGCTTATTTGATCGCACCACTCTGTTTCTTATGCCAAATGTAATCAATCACCTAATATGTGTAAGGCTGGGTATGACCAGTGGTCACCAACGCTGATCCTGGAGATCTAACTTCCTAGTTCCAACCACAATCTGCGACACGTTACTCGTTTAGAAGCCCCTGATAGGCTGGATCAGATGCATTAGTGTTGAGTAAGCAGGAGCACTGCGAGAAAGCAGGAGGGTTGGTGACCACTGCTCTGTGCTGTTAAACCTCAGATCCTGCTGATCTCCTTCAGTCAGCATTATACCTGTCAGCTTTATCACATATTCATATTTATCAGATATAACAGGTCACTTTTGCCCATTTTATCTATGTGTGATTAATTATAACCGCTTCGTAATGGTTTAAGAAGTTAATGAACTAATTAATAACTATTAATAAACTCATTTTAAATCATTCATAAACTCTTATGTGTAGCGGTGCACACATTTCAGTACCTCAGTAGTAGGTCAGAGCATCCAACAAGCAGGGTTGTTCCAAAATCTAGACTGCTGATTGGCTAAATTAATTATATTTTTTATATGCTTGTTATTTATGTCAGCTCTTCTTGATCAGTCTGTGAGCTGTTGGGGTCAGTATACACCGTTAGAACTAAAGGTTCTGTGCAGGTACATTTCTCGTTCTTCAAGGTACAAACAATGTAAATGTTCCCTCAAAGGTACAACAGTGGTTTTAAGGTCCAATTGTGAACCTTAAGTTCTTCCAGGTAAAAAAAGTTCATATTTCTACCTTTTTTATAACCGAATGTTTTAAAACAGATCAATAAAATAAAAAGCCTGGAGACGAGACGGGGTGTGTGGAGTCAGTACAGCTTAGAAAATATAAATTCAATAGATTATGGTTCAGTTATGTTCCCTGACTAAAGGTACTGAGATGTACCCTTGAGGGTCCCACCCCAGTGATAAGAGGGGTACTGCCCCAGTGACAGTTTCACACCTTTTTTTCCTGAGCGTGTACCCATCTCCAGCTCCTCATACTCATTTCTGGTTTAATTAATTCTGGTTTGAAATTTAAAAGGCGTGGTTCATTAATTGGTGTCAGAGTATCGGTATCAGTGAACGATACCCAACTCTAATAATGTTGCTGTCTGAGGTTTGCTTGTTTCATTTTGCACTGGAGCTTCAAGGCTAATGTAGCTAACAAGTAATGGAAGCTTATAACCACCGAGTTAGCATTGTGTGACCATGTCAATTATATATACGTTTGATTTTTGGCCAAACCATTTATAAGAAATTTTAACATCTGCAGACAAATACGAAAGTCTGCAGGTGCTTTTTTTTTGTTTTGTTGACCTGACATGAATTAAATCACCCCAAAGACCTGGTTTAGTTAGATAGGTAGGATGTATTAAGCTAAAAATGTACTAGACATGTGGAATGTCAGCTCATTGAATGTTAATTGATGAGTGAGATGTGTCAAATGTGTCAAATATCCTTTGGACAGTTCCAGATGAGTCCATGTAGCTACATTCAAAGAAATGTCAAAGACAAATGCACATAATATGCACTTCGTCAGCAACACTAATCACAACGAATGAATGTTGAGAAGAGGTCAAGCGCAATCGATTCGTAATTTGGATTTTTGTGATAAATTTCAGAGCACATGTTTACTGGAGCACATTTGAGGGATGCTGGGATGTTTTGATAACTGTTTTTGTTTTGCATTTTTTTTTTTACAAGCTAAGCTGCATTGCCTAGCATCATTCGCTGCACCACTGTCCAGAATCATTTTTGATGAATGATGCCTTCACTGTACTGCTTTCTGGAAAAAAATCAACCTGACTGTGGCACACTGTTGACATATTCTTGTAGGCTTGCCAATAGACTTTTACAACTTTTTGGTGCGCACTGAATGTAACTGTCATACAAAGATCGACAGTGTAAAAGTCATCAGGTTCTGTATCATCACCGTGCTTTATTTTAAAAATCGTATAAATCCATAACACAAAAGTTTGCCCACTGCCCTGTATTTACAGACGTGCTGACGTTTAATGGGACTCTGTATGAAATGTCTTTCTCTCACCTACATAGTCTTTGTATCACATCTCAAATAAAGCTGTAATTTTCTTTGGGGTCATGCTGGTGGCTGTGTGGTGTTGTCTTGATTGAGTCTGGTTTATCCGGTCTGGGATGATGATCTTGGCCTCGTCTAGAGCTCTTTCCTGAAAGAGTGCGTCGCCGTTCACCGGAGGAATACCTGCCCTCAGCACTTCGAGGGCCTGTGGAGGGGAAAGAAATAAACTGATAGGTTTATTATGCCTCAGGAGGAAAGTTAGTCAGGTCATATCGATCAGTGTAAAGCAGAAATCTTACTGTTTCAGTGTCTGTTTCAGTGTCTATACTCCGAATATCATCAACTCCATCGTTATTTATTTTATATTTATACATTTGAAAACGGCAGCTGTGTTTTACGTCGTATTTCATGTAAACAATTTCATGATAAATGGACCAATAGACTTTTTTTAAGTTACATTAATTTCCGTTAGTTACATAATTTCCTTCTCCTATGAAGTTAAGATGCAAAAGTTAGTTTCCTATTTGCCAGCTTCTTATTGGAATTTTTTTTTGTTCCACCTTAAATGGTGTGGCAGTTTAACCCTTTATTGCATGATGTTGCCTCAGGGCAACAAACTCATTTTCCTCACTTTGCAATAACATTACACATTTACTGAGCTAAAATCCAGCCTCTTTATCGGATTTCTTAATCAGATTTCTAGATCAGAGTGTGCTTTTTACATGACCATTTGAATTATCGGATAAACACAGAAATCCGACTATGATCGGATTATTAAGTGCATGTAAAGGCATTCAGTGACAGGATAAAAGCAGAAATCATATGTTTACACAGAAGCCTCAACAACTAAATATCACATTTTTCAGTATTTAGTATGCCCACTGTACCTTTATTACAGCTTCCATTCTTTTCAGGAGACTCACTTTTGGGATATTTTTTTCCACACCTCCAAAGTTCAGTCTTTGGTTTAGAAGTTGGTTTAGCACTTTCTGCTTCCTACAATCCAAGTAATTCCATGAAATTTAGACTCATCAGCCCATAAAACCTTGCTCAGATGTCCAGTGTCGGTGTTCTAACCCAAACTCTTTTTCATTTGTCCATCCTTTTCTCAGTGAGGTCCTTCTTCACAGCTACACATCCTTTCAGACCCATAGCGCTGAGTCGTCTTCTCACAGTGGAAGGATGGACAGAAACACCTGTGGATGTTTTCAGATCTGAAGCAGCTTGATTTTCTCCTCTCTCTCTCAGAGATGAAAGTGCTGTTTATCTGAGGGGGACAATTTTGGTGGTCTACCAGGTGTTGACCGATTTGACATTATACTTAGTGTTGGAGGCTTTTGTGTAATTTTCTGTTAAATATTTTTCGGCTTTGTTTTGTCGGGAGACGTCTGTGCTTCTTCATGGTATTTGTCAACTGATGTGCGCTTTTCCATAAGACGTTTGTGAATTAGTGCGTCTCTGTTGGCTGTACTTTCACTCCCTGTTTTTATCTCTTGCGCTGGAGTCAAGCCCTGTGGAGTCGCACACGAGGGAGAACTCGCTGTCTCTCCTCAACAGAACCGCACATTATTCACCTCCTACAGCTAACTCGTTTTCTGCCGCCAAGTCGTTAGTCAAAGTTCCTTCATCTCACAGATGCTAGTGAACTTAGTCATAAAGCCACAATTCAACAACATGTATAAGTTCATGAAAACATTCTAAAATCACTTGTGTTGCGGGTACAACTGTCTGAAAAGTCTTGTCCAGTCTGTGTTAAGCCAGTAAAGCTGATAAGTACTGCCAAAGTGTTTGTTTTCCAATATAGATCCATTTCAAATGAAGACATCTGAATCACCAGTGTACAAATTCTCTGAACTTTGAATAAAACCTGTGTAGGTTATTTTCCACAGTTGTTCGCTTTCACAATCGGATATTTACGCAGCAAAAAAGAGAAATTCAACTGGTTGCCTTTTCCTCAGTTAGGTTGAGGCCAATACATGTAAATAAATGAAAGCAGAAAACGTATTTATTTGGGTCTTACGAAAACAACAAAAAAACACCTTTAGAGGGCAGCGTTGAGTAATGTTTGTTTATTTGAGCCGTTTCTGCCGTCAGTCGTCGTCACAACCTCTAAAGAGAAAACATTTCTGCACATTCTGATGCACAATTACTGTTTATTTGCTGAATTTAAGATATTAGAAAATAATAAAACAAAAAATGTGCCCTGTGCAAAAGTTATGGCACCCTTTATTCTATATTTTATTAATTTTTTCAACAAATAAATAGAAACCGTGCTCTAAAATCTGCAGAAAAAAAGCCATATTTAAGTGTGTTCCCTGTTTAGAATGTGCTTATTTTTGCTTAGAAAATCAAAACATGTAATCTGACTGGAGGTTCATACTGGCTTCATACTCATGCTGAACAGATCCAGATGCACATTGTATTTTTTAACTAGTTCTATTCCCCTTTTGGAAAAACAGGTGAGACAGAATTGTAGTTATACTAGCAAGTTGGTCAGAGACTAAGAAGGCGACTGAGGAGGTATTGTTTAAAAGCCACTCTGTTCTTCCAACCTGGCACACGGATGCACTCTTCCTTATGCCGCTCGTTCCAGGCCTTCATCTTGCACGTCTTACTGCAGTAAAACACCTCGTGGCAGCGGCTACAGGCCTTCAAGACCACCCACGCCGAGCGGCCACACTGGTAGCAGTACTTAAACAGAGGTTTCCTGTAATACATGCACACATACAGAAACATACTTGATATAGCAAGGATGACCAGACGGTCCTGTATTTCTGCTCAGTCTCAAACTGTCGGTTATTTAAGATAAGAATGCTTTGTTCATTGCTGGAATATTCCACAGAATATGTTTTGTGCTCAGTAATACACACAATACTTGCACACATGCACTAAATATGTAATCATCAATCAGATCCACTTTCATTTTACAATACAATTAATTGGAGATAATGGGCCAGATGAAAAAGGTCCTGGCTTCTGTACTCCAGACCTGCTAAGTTAACACTTTTAGGCAAGGTAGGATGAAATCGTAGCCTGATATCTAAAAGGCGGTTATGTTTATTTAAAGCTGCACTATGTATGTTTTGGGTATTTGGGGACCTCTCTGGTAGGAATGTGTAATTACATGCAGCATGCAATTTTGTAATGTGGGCTGTGCTTTGGACCCCTTCCCCAAGCAGATGAATCTGAAGATTGCGACTGAGGTGAAAGAGTGTTCGAAGAGAACTCAGTGAACTTGGTGAACGACACGTCTTCCAAAGATTTATCTACTATTGTCATCATATCTTCATCAGTACCAGCTGTGTGTGAGATGTTTCTCAGGGGATGTCACAAAATTTTCCAAAACTATGTCATGAAAAAACTGAAATACTGATCGTTGGTACTAAAACTCACAGGAAGCTGCTTTATGAGAAACTTGGTTCTTTAGTTTTATATACCAAACCTGAAGCATGGAACCTGGGTGTGATCTTAGAGTCTGAGCTCTATGTCATCCCGCATGTAAACACAGTCACTAAAGTAGCTTTTTATCATTTGCGAAATGTCGCTAAAGTTCAGCCTTTTCTATCTCAGAGCGACGCTTGTTCATGCATTTGTTACAAGCATGATCACTGTTGATCACTGTAATGATCTTCTTACTAGACTTCCTAAGAAAACAATACATCCTCTACAACTCGTACAAAATGCATCAGCATCCTAAAAACAACAAAACAGAGAGATCATATCACTCCTGTTTTGAAAGGACTGCAATGGCTACCTGTATCTTTCCGGGTAGATTTTAAAGATCTTATACTATTTTTAAGGCTCTAAATGACCTTAAAGCACTGCTTACATCACAGAATGTCTGTCTGTTTATGTTCCAGCATGTGATCTTAGATCTGCAGATACTGACCTTCTACAAACAACATGGAGAGACTCTTTCAGTTTTTCTGCTTCTAAACTGTAGAACTCAATTCACCTTTTATTAGACAGTCTAGCTCAGTGCATTCGAGTACCTTGGATAACAATTTTGATGCATTTCTCTGCCCACTGCCTTTTATTACATAGAGTATTTTGAGTCAACAGATTTTCTATTCATTCACTAAGTGAAGGGACTGTCTGTGATAATCAACTGTATGATACAGATGTGTCAAAAAGAGATTAAGCTAAAAAAGAAAACAGGCTTTGTATTTTTATTGATTCAGTACTGTGCAAAAGTCAGAGAACACCTTTTCCTCATTTTTATTTACAGCCAAAACGACCACTGAGTCCGAATTATTCATTTTTCAGCGTCAGAAAAAAAGCAGGTATCATATATTTAACAGAACATTACACACAAACCTCCAGCACTAACTATCATATCAGATCTATCAGTATTTACTTTGTTCACTCTTTACTTTTTCCATCCTTCCAATCTTAAAACCGAAAATTTCCAGCTGCCTTTTTCTTTGCAAAATGGCTAGATGAGGAGATCAGATATAAAAAAGTTCCCAAAACTGTTCGAAAAGATGCCTGAAATTTACAGAGAAAATTGGACTCTGAAACTGGGCAAGACCTAATAGACACCAAACCTGCCCCCATCAGATAAACAGCCCTTAAAGCTTTCATCTCTGAGAGAGAGGAGAAAATCAAGCTGCTTCAGATCTGAAAACATCCACAGGTGTTTCTGTCCATCCTTCCACTGTGAGAAGACGACTCAGCGCAATGGGTCTGAAAGGATGTGTAGCTGTCAAGAAGAACCTCACTGAGAAAAGGAGACAGACGAAAATGGAGAACATCCGCACTACAACACTGAAACTGGACATCTTAGTGGTTGAGTAAGGTTTTTTTGGACTGTGGATTGTGAGAAGCAGAAAGTGCAACCAACTTCTATGACTGAACTTCAGATGTGTGGAAAAATATTCCTGCGGAGTTCTTTGAAAAGCAAGTCTCCTGAAAAGAATGGAAGCTGTAATAAAGACAAAGCTTAGACACTAAATGCTGAAAAAAATATATGTTTAGTTGCCGAGGGTTTGGGTAGTTTTCTGTTAAATATGTTAAAAATATGTTCTGTTTTTCCTTTTACTTGACTGGAAATGAAATAAAAGGGTGTTACCTTTTGCACAGTGCTGTCTGTCAGAGCAGTAGCCTGCTGTCATTGTAAACATGTTTTAAAAGAGTGGGTGTGTGTAACATATACAGTCTCCGCTCTGTAAAAATCTAGTCTAATAACATCTGATCCTCTTAGATGCAGTCTTATGTCAGCATCTGTTGGAGACATGACTCCACTGCTAATGATGCACTTGCAGTTTTACAGACATAAACATGATCTCACCTCACAGATGAAGTCTCAGTCTTGTCTTTACTCCCTGATCTGTAGGAAAGAGGAAGACAGTGGTGTAAGTGTGTACTTTATCTTCATTAAACACCACTGGGCTTTGATTTGTGTGCATGTGTGAGTGTGCACCTCTGATCATTTGGGGTTGTTCCATGCTGTTCTGCAGTGAGATGCACTCTTGCTCTGATTCCAGGAGGAGTTGCTCCTGCTCCAGTAAACACAAACTTGTCTGCAGGACTAACACCTACAACCAAAACACAAACACATACGCACAACTCAGTCAAAGCACAGCCGTAGGTGCAGGTCCACTAGTGTGGTCACTCGATTGTCTCACTGTGTATGCCCTGGCTCTGCTCTGCTTCTGAACGCTGTTTCTCCATGCCGACGGCTGCCTGCCTCAGCAGGTTGGCCATGGTGCTGAGCAGCTGGCGGCGGGCATTGTAGGCCTCTCTCTCACGCTGGTTTAGGGAGTGGTATACAGTAAGTGGAGGGGATAAAATGGACAATGAGCATAGAAACAAGGAGGTGGTCATAATGTTATGCCTGTTCAGTGTATGTGTGTGTGTAGTCCAGTGGGGCAACAAACTTGTGGTCACTTAATCGGCTGACACTTTGGCCAATGAGATGCTAGAATGAGTTAGTAAGGTTAACAGTAATGATGCACCGAAATGAAAAATCTTGACAGAAACCAGAATTTAATTTCTATGACACAAAAGTCTTATTTTACATATAATTTTTATTTATGTTTTGAATTAAAGTAATAATGTTGACAATGCTTCAAATGAGATAATTGCCATGTTGGGAAAGACAACTGACTGTACTAATTTAATTTTAAACAGCATGCTAAATAATATCCAATATTAAAAGTTTTACATTTATTAAAATTTATTGCCTAATGGTTTCCTAAAAGCACCTCTGCTATAATATAAATACCTTGTTTTTTAATATAAAGCTCATCTATATGGCTTTGGAACTCCTGCCTAGCAGTCTGAAGTTCCTCTAGCAGGGGGCGCTGTTAGCACGTAAGTGTTTGTCATTTACAGAAGAAAGAGTTCCATTAAAAAGTGGAATTAAAGTTCCATTTCCATTAAAGATCTTCATTAAATCAGCGAAGGCTAAAAAGCATGTAAGTTGTAGGTCACACAGAACAGCTGCAGGAGTGTGTTTGAGTGTTTCACTGTTTTATCTGCTGCTGCTCAAACTGTTTGAATGCATCTGTGCTGACTGGTGCAGGAGAAAGACACAAACAGCATTTTTAATCACTATTTTTCACTAACTTTTTCACAATCTTTTGCTTTTTTCTCTTTTTCGGCTAAAAGGTGTGGCTGAAGGTTTTTGGTGGCCGGATTTTCGGTGCATCCCTAGTTGACGGATTTCAGAAATATTTGTGCAAGAACTGCTGTACCTGATTAAAAGCATGATGGGTGTAATCCACTGCTGTTCCAAGCCCGCTTCTGCGGCCCTCACCAACCTCCACGGGCATCAGGATGTTGGCACCAGCCTTTATCAGCTTCTCAACCTCAAAGACAAAAAAATAAAATGCATTAAATAAAATAATAAAGTCTGTAAGCAAAATAAAAAGCACTGCAAATATAAATAATACGTTTACCCACATTTATTTGTTTATTATTTCTAAAGAGAGGTTGGAAAATGAAAAAATTGCCACTGAAAAAATTTTGACTGTTTTTGGTACACAAAACTACACAAACATGGACCTTGGGGAAAAATACAGGAACAATATAGAATATGAGCTCTTTAATATATTTTGAAAATTTAAATGTGATTTAATTCTCATTGTCATGTAATTACCTTCACAGAAATCCATCTGAACTAATATTTAATGCAGTTACTGATTCACTAACAGGATGCACTGCAGAATGTTAATGTAACAGCAGTAAATGATTACCAGTTTGATTCTGCTGCCGGACAGAGGTCCAAAGTCATAGTTGAAGTTGGCGGCGGCGCACAGAGCACTGCCTACACCGTGGGAGAGGGGCAGATTAGGGTCGGCTCCACTGGCCAGAAGCTCATCAACGGCCTGATGCATGGGGTCAAAACCAAAACTGAGTTGCAATCACAGCCAAGAGTGATAAATGAACTATAATGAATAAATGAGCAGTCGCCTAAACGTTCACTTTCATTTAGCGCTGATCGTTAGGGGTGTTAAAATGCATCAATCTGAAAGTGTCGATTCAACTATTGATTTTTGAGTGGTAGAACTGATTATAATCAATTATGATAGATTATAAAATATGCACTCATTTTTATGGCTGAAATCAAATGCTCAATATTTTCAAACATAATAAATTCTACCCTAAACGCTTGGTGTGTTGTTTTTCATCTATATATTTCACTACTGTGTAACTAGTTTCTCCAGTCACAACTGTACAATCTGTGTATTTTGAGAAGTAATCAAATTAAACAGAATTGTGGGGATATTTGAGATTCCATGATGCACTGAATACTGAATATTAGTTGTCAGTATTAAGAATGTGTACATAGTATTAACAAAGTGATGTGGCAGATGAAATGTTAACAATCTAATAATCTTTCAGTCATTCAGTCAATTTCATTCAAAATTTCTGCATAATTAAATGGTAAGATGTGGGCAAAGCCATTCAGAGTGGTTTGGTGTGAAACGCTCCGTTCTACAGAAACTTACAGAGACAGAATTGTTCACAGAGGTAGTGACAGGAAGAAGAGTTTAATGCCTCTAAAAGCTCCTGCACAAAAGCTATTACTTAAAATGGCCTGATCGCTGTCTGTTGCCAAGTAGTTTTGCGTTTTGCCTAAAGCATATAACACTTTTAAATCACTTATGGTGGAGGGGTACATGCAGGGCATTGTACGGCAGAATAGCACCCAAAGAAAATATATTTTTTCAGATTTATCACTATTTTACCATTATCAAAAACTCAGGCACGTGTAGTTTCACTGGTGGTTTCGGACAGTAAATAAAATGGCCATATTTGCCTTGTAGACATTGCAACCTTTCGTTCCACCACTATAAAGAAATCTGAATCACTAAGTTTCTCAAACCACTTAGAATGACTTCGTTTACATCTCAATGACTGAATTGCGCAGAAATTTTGAAAAATCCGTGGAATTCCCCTTTAACATCTATTGTCCAGAATCACGTCGGTTTAATGATGAGAGCTGCTTCTGATTTCCTCTTGGCTAGCCCAACGTTCACCTAAAGAAAATCTATCTAAGGTCACTCACAAGGTCGTTGCCGCTGGCGATAGCCAGCGAGAGGGGAGAATGGCCGCTCCACAGATGGCTGGTGCTCGCTTTGTGGGAGAGAAGGATGGAGACCACATCTCTGGCATTCTACAGAGGAGAGCATCATTCACACCATCACACTAAACAAAGCCAGTTCATTTACACATGACCTCAGTATACTGTCAATATATCATACATGACCTCAGTCATCTGTCAATATATCAGTTTATTTACACTTTGGGTTCAGCTTAACATACAGTACATACCAGCACTGTGCTCACAGTGCCATTACCTATGATGGTTATGTTTACATTGCATTGATTCTCCTTTAACAGAAGAAGAGCTTACATAATTGCACGTAACTCCATGGTATACACTGTATTTACGTTCTCGAGTATGTAAATACAGCTGCTGACACTTTATATACAGCAGGAATGAATGCTTTAGTAAAATTTAAAATGTCTGTGCTTACTGTGTAATCACTGTCTCTCTGACAGGCCACGTGAAGCGCAGTCCTTCCCCCTTCCTCTGGGGTCTCTGCAGTGGTTGTGTAGGTGTAGGGTGGGGGTCTGGAATCCAGGCAGGACCTGGTCCCAGAACCCGCCTGAGGATCTGCTGTACTCTGGGGGTAAATACAAAGTATGTGGTTGTTATCAGCAGTATTTTATAAGCATACTAAACATTAAACTGATAATAGCTGTGCTCTGAGGCTCTATTTGTACTTGCCCGAAAGGCATTCATTATAAAACATAATACACAGTTGTATGCAAATGTTTGAACTCCCCTGGTCAAAAGATGTTTGGTTGGTTTTCTAAAAAAAATAAGTTAACACCTCCTTTACAGAGAACAGACTAAAACATGGCTTTTTTTCACATTTTAGTACACAATTTTGGTAACACTTTATGTGGAGTGGTCCTTTATAGATGATTAATAAACTCTGAACAGAGTATCAGTATCACATCAACAACATATCAGTGACGTAGCTGTAGTGAAGCATCTGAATACACTGAAGTAAATATCTTGTAGATGTTCTGTCGATACATTACTTACATTAAGTTGGTGTATTGTTAGTATGTTACTTCCATTATGCAAAACCCAATCTTACCCTAAACCTAACCCTAACCCTAACATTAATCTCAACCCAAAACCTAATCCTAACCCTTATATGCTTTTGACGTTACTGAGAGTCCATTGAGTGTTCTTTTCATCTAAAAGGACCACTCAAAATAAAGTGTCACCACAATTTCTATTTATTTCATGAGTTTAAGATATTGTATGAAATTAAATATAAAATACTAACTTTTGTACAGGCAATATTTTATTTAATATTTAAGTTTTTATTTTTCTATACTTTAATTGAATTAATTAACAGTTGTGCATTAAAATATATTGACAGTGCAGTGTGTTCTCTGTAGAGGATGTGTACTTAGTTTTTTAACTATAATGTAATTTGATTAAGATGCATTAGGAGGTTATGTAATGTAATCTGTTGGATTTGACTGGCTGCTTGGTACAAGATAAAGTCTCTAACTTCTGGGGATGCACAATGATACTGGAATCATATCTATCGGCAGATATTTGCTTAGAAAATTATCAGTATCATACAGACGGCTAGAATTGACCAATATTTCAAACCACTCTTTGATGGCATGTTTATTGTAGTCCCGAAGAGGAGAACATTTTCGGCGACGGTTGACAAGTGCGTGAAAATATGACCATTTTAATTATCCTACTGCATTTGTAACCCACAGAAATAAATGTTATATTTAATGCTAATCCAGGTGGATCAAGTCCCAGTTTCTACATTTTATAAATGTTTATGTATTGCATCGGAACATATGTACATGAAAAATATTAGACATTCAGCATCAGCCCACAATTCCCATATCAGTGCATTTGGTCTGATTTGGAAGGGCACACTCAATAACAATAGCAACACACCTCACAGTCGTATCTATTAGCAGGTTTTGTTATGGCTCTGACCTTGTCCAGTTCGTACACTTCACTGGCATCTTGCGCTTTGACATCAGGGTCCGCAGCAGCATGCAGGAGCAGTTCTGTGATCTTAGGCCCATCTGGGCCCAGCAGACCGGCTGCTACATGCAGTGGGTACAGGCCCTTTAGCTACAGAACATGAGGCAGCAAATATATGATGTGTTTTTCAGCAGAGCATATTGGGTCTCATTCAGCAATCTTTGCATTTTTTCTTAAGTTTGTTCTTGAGAAAGGACCTAAGAAACCACCGCACTCTTGAATGTATGTAGATTCTGTTCTTACCTAAGAACCAATCCCAATTAAGAAAGCATTAGTGAATCTCAGAAACTGTGTAAGTGGGTTTTAAGAAGACATTTCGGTAACACTTTCTATGAATGTCACATTTGTAAGCATCTATAAACACATTTATAACATGTTATAATGTATTCATAAGGCATTATAAACATGGTTATAAATATTTATAAAAAAGAATTACACTGAATGACACTTTATAGCCATGTTTATTATACATTATGAATTGTTAATATAATGCATTATAAATAGTGTTAATAACATGTTATAATGTCAGTGCCAAAGAAGTCAGTCCCAGCTTGGAGAGCGTAAAGTTAAAACAAATACCAAGCTAACGGTGGTGTACATTGACTTTCCCACATTGGGTAAAACACTGATGGCAGCACTAGTTTAAACTCTGACATTTGAAGCCTGTAATGTGCTTTATTATGAATGTTTTAGTGTTTCAGTAAATCCTTCAGTAAATACTTCAACTTGTAGCCTCACTCTTAACACTGGAGGAGGCTTTAGTACAGTACGCTTCACTTTACTTAGAGCGGACAAATACAACTTATGAGCTCTTATAATTTGCTATGATCGGTACTTATAATGTATTATGTTAACAATTCATAATGCATAATAAGCATGGCTATAATGTATAATGCATTTTTATAAATATTTATAGCTATGTTTATAATGTCTTATGAATGCATTATAACATGTTATGGATGTGTTTATAGATGCTTACAAAGGTGACATTCATAGAAAGTGTTACCGAAATTTCTTCTTTAGAACGTTTGGTGAATGAGGCCCGTTGGTTCCAAACTTTTGAATAGTGTCCACTAGATGTCAGCACAAATCAAGAACGACTAATTATTGCTTCTAAATACAAAACGGTTGCCCACACCTGCCATTAGAGAGCTAACCACCTGCAGAGTTTAGCTCTGATCCAAGTTTAACACACCTGATCCAGCTAAACAAGATCTTCAGGATTTGAATTTAACAGCCAGGTGTGTGGGATCCAAACTGCAGGAGGGTGTGAGTGCAGGAGCAGGGTTGGGCTCCTCCGTAGGTGAAAAGCGTGAGAGAATGAAGCCTCACCTCTGCGGGTAAGGGCAAGTCTGTGCAAGCGCCGCACTCCAGCAGCCGCCGCACGGCCTCAACGTGACCTGCTTTAATGGTCAGGAAGATGACAGGCATGGGGACGCTGGAGGCGTTGGGGTCCGCCCCTCTGTCCAGGAGCAGCTTTAGAGTGGACCAGCGGACCTGATGTCTGTAACACCAGACAAGGACAAAAGGAGTAAACCACACATACTGTATGTCCCAGTATGATTTCATACAGGATTTAATTCTATATTCTACACATTATAATGAACTAGTTAAAAGACGCAGCACATCTGATTTGGTCTTAAAGCAATAGTTTGGCAAAAAATTAGACAGTTCTCTTCTCACCCCAAATGTAGTGATGAATGGTGTCTGATATTTGCTTCTGTAGTTCTGCACTGGAACTATGAGGCTAATGTAGCTAACAAGTAATAGAAGCTTATGTACACCAGTTAGCACCGCGCTAACCAGTGGTGTTCAACAGGGCAAAGATATAACATCACAATACCTCAGGATATTTCACAAAACATGATATGCATACTGGTATTTTGTTTTTATGAGGTTTGTAAAGTTGAAAAAAAAACAACAGAAACACCACATTTAAAAATACTATAAAAAATATGAATACAATGATTTTGCTCAGCATTTGACACAAAGTGCTGCACTAAATCCAATTATACAGGACTAATTACTATTTCTGTAATGAAACATGCAAGTGTTTCTGAAATACTGATGATATCAATGATATGCTCAGAAAATCACACTGTGAAGCAATTTATCACAATAATGGTAAATACCCTCATATTACCCACCCCTACATACCTAAATCATCATATTCGTGCCTTAAACCATGTCAAGTTGTTATGTAATCTCAAATACACCTGATTATGTGGTTTTAGACATTGTGTGACATAATAACAATGGACAAAAGTATGTCGCATGGATGAAAACAGTAGAAATAGCTTTAAGTATGAATTTTGTCTACTTTTATTAATTTTTTGGCTGAATACAGTTTGAGGCAAGTGTGTTGCTTATTTGCTGTACATAAGCTTTCATTTCTTGTTAGCTACATTAGTCTCCTAGCTCCAGTGACGCAAAATGCTTGGGCTGGTCGACAATATTCGGGCCAAGAGGAAAATCTCAAAGCTGATCTTAAAGAAAAATGTTTTTTTCTGATTTTCTATATAATTCAATCACTGAGATGTAAACAAAGTCATTCAGAGTTGTTTGATGTGAAAAGATGCTTTGCTGAGAAATTTCGCTAACTCAGATTTCATTACAGAGGTGGTGGAGGTGGATATAAATTATATATAATAATGTACAATATATAATAATATATACATAGTACAATAGTGGAAAATCAGAAAAATAAGTCTGCTTTGTTGACTATTTTCCTTACAACACACTACATGTACCTCTCTACCATAATAATTTAAAAATATATATGATTTAAGCCAAAATTTTATTTCAGGACTACCATAAAACACTGCCTCAGGCATCAGGCAGGGTATTCATAACCATGTCTTGGGATTTCTCTCTCTTTGAGGAGCTTTTTAAGGGAAATTAAATATTTCGGACATCTGGTTTCTATCACCACCACTGTGAACAATTCTGACCTTTCTAGAATTTCACATGAAGACAGTCTAAATGATTTTTTTTACATCTTAACCATTTAATTGTGGAGAACATTTGTAAAATCTGTGGAATTCCCCTCTCATTCGTATAGTATCTGTAGGCACTATAATCAAAGGCAAAGGCTCACTCAGTCTTCATGAGTGCCATCTTGCGGACAGTTTCCGGGGTGTTTGCAGGCTTTACGTGGCCTCCTTGGCACAGGACCTCTGCCATCTGATGCATAATGTCCTCTGTGACGTTCACACCAAAGCTAGCCATGGAATGAGCTGAGTCAAAGGTGGGATCCTCCACTGAGCTTCCGTTTGTCCAGTTTTTCTCCTCTGCCTTCGGATCCAGATCTTGCTGTCCAGAAAAGCTGCCTGCACCCTCATCCTCCCTTTGGTTCCAAGGAACAGCACCCACTGGGATTTTCCCATCTAGCACCTGGATAGACCTCACCTGTGTCTGCTGGGCCTTCTCTGAGAGTTCAGCCTCTACTGTCTGAGCTTCAGCCCTCTGAAGAACCCTCTCTGCTCTTTGGGGACTTTCAGTGCACTCAGTGTTTTCTGGAGCTTTTGGCTCCTCAGCACTGCTGAAACCCTTGGCTGAAGGATCATCACACTCTGCCCGGTCACTTTGGCTGCCTGTGAGCATTTTTCTGTCACTCTTGTGTCCAGGCCTTTCTCTCAGGGGGTCAGCAGACTCCTCTTGAAGGCTGTTAGTAATGCCTGAAGGGGCTCTTATCTGCAGAATGAGAGAGAAGATACTGTTAAGAGGAAATGTTCATCAACACAATGAAAGCAGCTTGACATTACAATCCAGTTAACCTCAGCACAAAGTGTCTAAGGCAATACTGCACACACGTCAATCAGTCAGTGTTTGGTTATATAACACCTTTCATACAAACAGCTGTGATTCAAAGTGTTTCACAGATTAAAACAGACTGCTTTAAGACAAGGACCCAAAAAACAGAGTTAAAAAGAACGGTAACACTTTATAATAACAGGACCCAATAAACAGCAACTTAATAATGACCTAATAGTATGTTAACTTAATCAAGTCAAGTCAAGTCAAAGTGTATTTATATAGTGCTTTTTACAACAGGTGTTGTCACAACACAGCTTTACAAAATCTGGGTCCGAGCCCCCCTTGAGTGTTGCCAATGGCGACAGTGGCAAGGAAAAACTCCCTAAGAGCAAGAGGAAGAAACCTTGAGGGGAATCAATTAATCAATCAATCAATCAATCAATCAATAAATAAATAAATAAATAAATTTCAATATAGTTTGTTAATGATGGTTTATGTATTTGATACTCATAACTTTAAAATGATGTAATTTGAGATATTAAGTATTTACTTAATTGCAATTATAAAGATGTTTAAACTTTTCCGTAATGTTTATTTATATATATATACTTTTTACACATTAATAATTGTTAACTGGACCCCTATTATAAAGTTGCAACTTTCCAATCTACACTTAAATATACTTAATTCAAAAAACTTTCATAGTGCTTTAATAATTAGTTAACTGGTTAATAATTGAAACGGTGTCCCTTATTAATGCTGCTGCTGCACAGACCCAAACTATTTAATTACAGCCAATGCTTAATCTGCTTTTCCCCTTTTCTGTATTTTAATATTTTATATTAATGTTATAACCGTATTCTCTCTTCATTTTGCTTTTTTGTTATTGTTTGCTATCCAACAAGAGGAGGATGGGTTCCCCATCTGAGTCTTGGTTCCTCCCAGGGTTTCCACTGGCAACGCTCAGGGGGGCTTGGACCCAGATTTTTCTGTAAAGCTGCTTTGCAACAACACCTGTTGTGAAAAGCGCTATATAAATTAATAAACCTTGACATTAATGCACAAGTTACAAATGTATTAATTATTAAGTTGCCATTTATATGAGCCTGTAATTATAAGTGTTTCCAAAAGAACAAGAACGTTCAACGGTAGCAGTTACCAAACAGGTACCAAATAAAACAGGGACACACATATATAATCACAGATGATTATAAAAAGGATAACAAAGAATTACAAGGATAACAAGGATTAGAATAATAGAATAATATACAGTACTGTGTAAAAAGTCAGAGATCCTTTCATTTAGTTCCAGTCAAAACAGTTCTTAAGTACTGAAGTCATTAAGTTATTCACTTTTCAGCATCAGGAAAAAAATGTGAAAATATAAATTTAACAGAACATTACACAGAAGCCTCAACAACTAAAATAATCAGTCCATAAAACCTTACTCCGATGTTTTTTTTTCAGATTGGAAGCAAGAGTGGAGCTGGATTTTCTCCTCTCTCTCAAAGATGAATATATATATATATATACATATATATATATCCATTTTATCAGCTCCTCTTACTATATAGGTGCACTTTGTAGTTGTACTAGGTACTTTTTTTCTAGGTACTATTTGGGTGGTGGATCATTCTCAGCACTGCAGTAACACTAGAGGATGACCAACACAAACTGTGCAGCAGCAGATGAGCTATCGTCTCTGACTTTACAACTACAAGGTGGACTGACAAGGTAGGAGTGTCTAATAGAGTGGACAGTGAGTGGACAGTGTTTAAAAACTCCAGCAGCACTGCTGTGTCTGATCCATTCAGACCAGCACAACACACACTAACACACCACGTCAGTGTTACTGCAGTGCTGAGAATGATCCACCACCCAAATAGTACCTGCTCTGTGAGGGTCCATGGGGGTCCTGACCACTGAAGAACAGGGTAAAAGGGGGCTAACAAAGTATGCAGAGAAACAGATGGACTACAGTCTGTAACTGTAGAACTACAAAGTGCTCCTATATAGTAAGTGGAGCTGATAAAATGGACAATGAGCGTAGAAACAGGGAGGTGGTCATAATGTTATGCCTGATCAGTGTATATATTTACTAAAAGAGTAAGAAAACTGAGGAAGAGAAAAAGATATGAAGAAATGAAGTCATATGATTAACATATGATCATGTTTAAAAACACCCACAGACTGCAACTGCACTGCCCTCAGGTCATCAGGCAGCTGTTCCAAAGTGTTCCCAGTTCTAACAGGCCTGACTCAATTCATCAATTAATTATCAAGTCACTCATGAGCTGAATGTAGAAACAGACACTTTTACTCCAACACTGGTTAAAAGTAGTGCTCAAACTGCCATTTCAGGACACGAATTTTAGCCCACCTCTGGATTTGCGGTCTCTTTCTGAGATACCCTCTCAGCCACCGTCTTTTGTAGAGACTGGAACGGGTAGTAGAGGACAGCGCACACAGCCAGAGCGGACATGCCTTCAGCATTCAGCTTATTCACATCAGCGCCACTGTCCAGCAGCAAGTGGATCACATCATCGTGACAGTTCACCTGCACAGGGATAACATTTCTCCAGTGGCATGTTTCTCACAGAGGTAATGAAATAACGTGTATGAAGATCATCCAGAGTAGTGTTTAAAATGTAGAACAGAAAAGCTCATCAGCTGCTCAGTTGTAACTGATCCAAATGTCTGTGGGTCAGTGAGGAAAGAGCACACAGGTGCTGCCATCTGCTGGCCAAAACCAAACATTTCACATTTGGATGAGGTAAAAGAAATGTTTCCTCTTTTTTCCATATTATCAGACACTGAGCTCTTTTACCACAAAGCAACTTAACACCACCACTACAGAAAAACAGTTCAGCTGCACACATTAACTACAATGTTTTGTGAAAAATGGACTGAATTTTATGTCTCTACTCTTAAAAAAAGATGGTTCTTTTTGAAAAGGGTTCTGTATAGCACCAAAAGGGTTCAACTACTGTTACAAGCCAAACCCAAGAACCATTCCTTGGTACTATACAGAACCCTTTTTTGCTAAGACTGTACAGGTAGCGATGGTATCAGGAGAAAATACTGATTTCCTACAGACAAGGCAGAATCGTTCCTTTTTTCCCTCCAGCATCTGATCCAGCATTTTCTGCTGATATCATAACAGCCTACTTTGTAGTGCTTCAATTAAACAGTCCGTATACTATATTTTTCTTGT